ATGGAGAATAGCAAGGACGACAGATGGACAGAATACCACAGACACACCACTTGTATAATTCTTATGCAAAGTTGTGTAAATTTAAATTACATGATAACTGGATATTACTACATGGAACGGAATGACCATTAAAGACGTTTGTACTTCCGCATTTCCCATCAGAGCCCAGAGAAAAATAAGTGTGAAATAAAACAAATCACAAAAAATGATAAACAAAAAATTCATGATCCCACAGAAGTTGTTCAAGAAGTAAACAATCATTTTGCGACTGTTGGTAAAAAATTAGCAACAAACATTAAGAAACCACGAACTGTGACATTCAAAGAAGAAGAAATAGAAAATAGTATTTTCTTAGAGCCCACCAACAAAGAAGAAATAGAAAAAACTATATCAGAACCAAAACAAAATTGCTCACCAGGTATAGACAAAATTATTACAAAAGATTTAAAAAAACTTGTGAATGTCCTATCAGAAAAACTTGTGAAAATGATAAATAACATACTAGAAACAGGAATTTTCCCAGAAGCATTAAAAAACGCTAAAATCATACCAATATATAAAAATGGGAAAAGGGATGACTTAAACAATTATAGGCCTATCTCACTTCTAAGTATTTTCTCAAAATTAGTGGAAAAAATAATTAAAGTGAGAATAGTAAAATTTATACAAAAAATTTTTAACTTTGAAAAGCAGCAATATGGTTTCCAAAAAAAGAGCAATTCCTTGGGAGCAGTCTCTGACCTTCTCGAGTATATATCAGGCGAAATAGATCAACGATAGTGATGCCGCGAGACTCGAGACTGGTCTCGTCTCGTCTCGACTTTTCGAGACGAGACTGGCTTTTAGTCTCGTCTCGTCAAGTCTCGACGAGACGAGACCAGACTCGGCGAGAGTCTCGAGTCTCGAGATTACACTTAAAATTTTCTTTCATAGCTTTATTATTGGACTATTCTGGGCTATTTGAATATGAAATCAGTAAATTAAATATCACGGTTACTCTTTACTGCGATTTTTCATTAATTGCTTTTCCACTGTGGTACTTTGGACTTCCGTTATAATATAAAAACCATAAATACAGGGTGTCCGAAAAATAGCGTAAAAGCTCTCCACGTAGTAGAGGACCTTTTGAGAAACCCTAGAAAAATAATTACATTAAAAAAATCCTTCTCTAGCATTATTTTTGGTAATATGAAGAGGTAGATGTGAAAATTCACCTTCAAATTCTTCAGGTAATTACATGGGTATTTAATTTAATTCTCTGTCATATTGTCAACAGGATATTTTCAGTGCTGCCAATTTTAATAACTATTAAAATGCAAATAACTTTCTTTAGAATGCCACTAGATTTTTTAAAGTATTTTTCTGGGGTTCCTTGTAGGGTCCTCCACCACGTAGAGGAGAATTTTTATGCTATTTTTTGGACACCCTGTATAACTCGAGACCAGACGAGACCACTCGAGACGAGACGAGACTTTGGTACTCGAGACCGAGACTAATAGTCATGGTCTCGTCTCGAGGTGTCGAGACGAGACGAGACCAACCCTCTAAGTCTCGTCTAGTCTCGTCTCGCGGCACCACTAATCAACGAAAATATGTAGTAGTAGCAGTGTTTGTGGACCTAAAGAAGGCGTTCGATACAGTCAACATAGACTTATTGCTGGAAAAGACAAGAAAAATGGGATTCAGAGGACCATGCGAAACTTTACTCAGGACATATTCAGTAGGAAGAAAACACTACACAACAATAAATGGACAAGACAGTGATGCAGCAACCTCTGGATGTAGGTGTGGCGCAGGGCTCGGTCCTGGGACCATTGCTATACCTTTTGTAACTTGCAATATATAGGCTTAAAGGCTAAATATGTCATGTTTGCTGATGATACCGCATTATTATTGTCAGCTTCCAAGGTAAAAGACCTAAAAAAGGACATAAACAGAGATTTAAATGGCTGTGTTATAATTAGCTAAGTATAAATACCACAAAAACTGTTTATATGACCATAAATAACAAAAATAAGCAAATATGTGTTACCAGTATATTTCTTTATGGAGTGAAACTCAGCGAAGTGACAGAGTACAAGTCTCTGGGCCTAAATATAAATAATAAATTGACATGGAACAACCACATACAAAACGTGAGTCAAAAAATTTCACCCATACTTGGGGCAATAAAAAGATGTTCCCATATGCTAAATACCAAATCAAGAAACCTGCTATATGATAGTTTCATAGAACCGCACATAAGATACCTGCTGATAGTCTGTTGGGGAAATGCGCCAAGATATGTACTCAACAAACTACAGAGAGTGCAAAATAAGTCAATTAAGCAAATCTTTTCTTTGGAATATATGACACCGAGTAAAACTTTATATAAACAAACTAATATATTGAATATTGAACAGTTAAAAACTTATGAACAAATGAAATTTGTCAAGTGTATACAACAAGATCTGTTTAAAAATAACCTAAAACTAAAATTAACTCAAAACAAAGACTGTCATCAACATGAAACGAGAAATAGAGACCTATACAGCAACGCATTCGTACGAACAAAACAATGCCAGAACTCTCCGCTGTATGCCAGCATCCAAGCCTATAACCAACTACCAGAAAGTATTAAAAGCATACAACACTACAAAAAAATTTGTAAGAAATTAAAACAAGTATTTAGGGAAAAAAATTATATATATTAACGTGCCATAGCCTCAATAAAAATAAATTTAATTAGAAATTAGGAATACTATATACTGTAAAACTAACTTAACTAGCTGCGGAAAGTGTATGTAAGTATAATTTGTATTTAATTAAGTCTTAGGCCCTAGTGCCAGTTTTCTGTAAACTGTTTAAGGGTTATGAATAAAGTTTCTTAAAAAAAAAAGGCTAATCCAATGGGACAATTATACGGGATTTTCCATTTGAAAAAGTATAACTTTGCTTCGCCACACTTTTGTGGCACACCCTGTATACTTGTAACTAACATCAATGAAAACTTTCTGATATTACCTTCAACTTTCACACTTTTGACATTTCTGAGTATCTCTTCAAACAGGTGAGATAGGTGTAGGTGCAAAATATAAACAATCACCCGGTACAGTTTTTGAATAATAGTCATCTGCTTATATAATTTTGTATATTTTCGTATAAATCTGCATTCGTTAATGGTCGATTGAGTGTACGCCACTGGTGTGAACCATTTCTTACAACTCCCTTAACCTTCCATAATGCTGGGAATTTAGGTTTCATTGATCTTTTGGGATTCCCCAAACTCCATACACTAAATTATTTCAAGATATGAAGCCGAAATATTTGAAAAAAGGCACTCAGAAAATTGATAAAAGTAGTAAAAGTACCCCAAATTGCTTAACGCGATTTTTTTTCTGAAACTGTAAGTCCAAACGAGCTGAAATTTTCAGGGATTGTAGTCCTCTAGAAGGAAGAATCGCTGAAAATTTCAGCTTTCTATCTGTAGGTAATAGAAAAAAAGTTATAACCTTTCAGGTAGCTACCTACCTACTTACCAAAGTCTGATAATATCTTTGACACAATGTTTATAATCGGTAATTTTGATTCTTTGATTTTCAATTGAAACTCAAGAATTTGCAAAAAAAAAAACTGTAACATAAAACGATCTCATTACTTAAAGTACGATGTATGTCAGTTTTTTCTTTCATCAACTTTTCCACTAAATACAGTGAATTACCATTTGATTTTTCCAAAAGTTTTGTTGACCGGCTCTTCTAATACCAGTCATCATTTACCACTGATTGGTTATGCACCAGTTTGCATTTAAGTCATTTTACTCGGACTCGGAAATTGTGGTTGATGCTGCTGTAAAGTCAAACATGCGCCAAGTCGTGTGGTTCTGTGTTCTGCAATGATAAATGGACCTTTTGGTGCGCCACCGAGCGGAAAAATTTAGATCTTTACACTTTGTGTGACTTTTCTTACCTGGTTCTTGACCTCTAAAATAATAGTAGATTATACCAATACAATAATGATAGCTATTATTCCCGAGGATTATTACGAACTGAGCCGCGTTAGCGGCGAGGGAGTAACATTCCGAGGGAATAATAGCCATTATTGCGAGTAGTATACTCTACTTTATTTACGACAAATTAATTTATTTGAGATTTTCAATGAACAAATTTCATCCGTCTGATAATTTTCAATACAAATCCACAAGCACTACACGTTTGACACTGACACTTTTGTGGAATAATGACCATTAATCCCGCTACTCGTCATTAATCCCTGGAGGAATAACATATGTCATTATACTGCCAAAATCACAAATATAATACGCACATTATACATTAGTCGTAAATAAAAGCTATTTTTATATACACTTAAATTATAAAGGCTGTTAAATGTAAACGCTAATTGGAAGTTGAAGTTAAGCTGCAAATTATTAAAGCGCCAATAAACATATTTAAGTATTTGCGTCATCTTAAATCCCAAGAGGCGCCACTATACGTTTGCTAAAACGAAACAAAAATCCTCTTATAAACATCTTTGCCTGAAAAATATGAGATTTAATAGACAATCAATTATTGCTACAAAGTCAAATCAAAAATCCTTATACTTTTACCATATTATTATTATTTTGCTTTAAAGCTGCCAGTTTGTGTGATTGATTAATAAACTAAATAGATATAACATATCTCTATCATTATTGAACACATTGTTAACAAGCCACCATCATTACGCAATGATTAATTATTGGCTTTTTAAATCATCACTACTTACTTCCAACGCTAGAGCCTATAATTTTCTCAATCAATCACCTCTATAACACTTCTAAGATTTTTTAATCTTGAAACAAAACGGTCCAAATTGCCCTGAGCTTCAATTTATGTACCTAGTTCCTTATTCCAATCTAAATTATTCGATCGTAATTGCATTGTTATTGGCTCAAAAACAAATAAAATGTAATAGATCAGGCTATAAAATAACTATAGGAAACAAATGATCTTAAATGGATATATTTTTTTAAATTCCAGATGCCATACATAATACTCTTGACAACAATTATTCTCCTAATTACGAGTACAATAGGAGCCCCGACATTTCTTGAAAACGATCGTCAGACAAGAAATTTGGCTTATTTCGATTACATTCAGCCCGAAATCAATTACGGGCCTTACGAGGCTCTCACGAACGAAGACGATTACGACGAGTCCATAGAAGAAAACGAATTGAGCAGAACCGTTCCAGCTAGAAAACGGTTGAGGAATCCTCAATATAATTCGCCTATTTATTATATTAGGTTGCCTCCTCAGCCTTACATGTTTGTACCAGGTAAGAATTATCATATAGTTAAAAACTATTGTTCTGAAAGAGTCCCATTTAGGACTTTAAAAGTATGAAATTTCTTTAAAGCAGTTTGAAATTCGAAATAAATTATTAACAGGTCCCAGTAAACACATCTGTGAGATTTTACGTAAAGTTTACCTATAATCTGAGATTATTTTTTTACCAGCATGTATATTGTATAGGTTATACAACTCACTGTACATTATTCCCATATGACACGAGAGGCTTAAGAAGTGATAAGCCTTTTGGGATTATCGCGCTTGGTGGCATTTGTCATTAATAATAATGAAAATTAATAAAGCATTTAAGTTTAGTTCGTTGTATAACCTTTTGAATACCACTCGATGTTTCAGGATTACCTAATACTTTTACCTGATAATCAACCCTTCGGAGTCGTGGTGTTGCTGCGTAACGCGTTTCGTGACAGGTAGAAGTGTTATCCGGTAATCCTGAAACCTCTTGTGATATTACATTCGATAACATTTACGTAGTGTCAACGCTTTCTTCGGTGTTTATGGGAGCTGTTGAAGATTCGGCGAAAACCTAGGTAGGCGACCTTTTTTATATGTAAATTGGGCCAAAAATTTTTCCGACCGATATTTAATGACAGGTAAATTCCGGCCAATTCCCCAATAAAACGGAAACCATAAATATTTATATTTTCGGACATTAGGTAAATTATATTTAACACCACTACGAACGAAATTTGGAATATTATAATAGGGGAGTAAAACAACAATACAATCATTTCATCTCATATATTCACAAAATGTAATAATAACCAGTGGCGGCTCGTGGTATAACATATTGGGGGTGCATATAATTTGTAATTCATAATAAATGCCGAAAGGGGGATGCCCGCCGCAGGCGCCGCCGGAGGCGCGAAATTTTTCGGGGTGCCACGCCCAGAAGTGTTTATTTTAGGCCTTTAAAAAAATAATTTATTGTAAGTGATCGTATGAGTTATGTGATGTGTTTACCTACCAATAATTAAAAATATTGTTAAGGGATTTCATATCTACCCTACCAAACAACCAACTAAGCTCAATTTAATACTTTTTTCGGTCTATCAAATCGTGGAAATTGAAGGATCTTATATCAATAAACTAGAAATTAAGTAACAAAGTAACTTACCTCGCTGAGTACATCGTCCTGGTCTAACAATTGTTTTTATACATAAATGTATTATAGTTTTCAATCTCACAATTCTCACAGACACGTTTTGTATTGAAAGATAAGAGTAAGATGTGATTTTGAGTTTTGATGTTTTTTAATTTTTTCGGATAAATGTACTAAATCTTTAACGCCGGATTTTGTCCATTCTGATGCTTCATCGCTTCCAAATAACAAACAGGGAAAACAGTAAAGACTATTACTAACATCACAACCGCACAACCAGTCAGTTTTTTCGTAAGTTTCCATTTTAAAAGTTCGTTTATAATCACGACTTTTGCATTTTGTTATGTTGGTGATTATTAAATTTGGCTTTGGACGGCCGACACATTTGATTTGGATTTTTTCCTCCAAAGAAAGCGAAGAAAATTTAATTGTTTTTAAATATGGCACGCTAAGGCTATCGGGGTTCAGAAATCCCGCCATTCTACACACAGTTTTCAGTTAAATCGCGCTCGAATCGAAATAAATATAAAACAACAGCTTCCGATCCCAAAGTGCACTGACTACATGTGCACACCAGCCAGCTTAAAACATCGAACGTCGCTAGACCTTCGCGGGGAACAAAGAGTGCGGGGGGCATAGTTCCACCAATTGGATTTAATATTGAAATGTGCAGTGAACGGGGCGATCAAGCGACGCGGTGGACGCTGTGATTCCAGCGTTGCCGGTTGCGTTTGTTTTGCTGGCGCATTTGGCCACTAATTTTTTAAATTAATACTTTACAGGTAGAATGTTAAAATTTGAAGAATGATAAAATTAAATTTAAAGTTGTTTGATATTAATTTGGGAGTGCACGTGCACATGTGCTCTTATGGAGGAACCGCCACTGATAATAACATAAATACATACATCATACATATAACAATGCATACATTAAAAAAAAGCTGAAAATACTTACCTGTATGGCTTTACTGAACAATTTTAGATTTGGGCTAAATATATAGGGGTCTTAGAGAGAATGGCCCCACGTTGGGCGCCATGTCAACGCTTTCTTCGGTGTTTATGGCTGAGGCCACTAACAAGCGTTGTTTTTCATATTGACTGACATTCCAAAATCTTGCTTTCGGCAACAGCAGTACTTAATTGTGGAGAAATTCTGATCTTTCTTGGCAGATTTTTTTGGCAGAACGTACACATCTCTATGGTACACATAAAAACAACCATAGAAACAACCCGTTGGTTGTTTTTTGCCAGCGTGCGTTGCCGCGTGCTTGTGTGCTGCTTGCTTTGCCAACTCCTTTTTTATATTTTTCTTATCTAATGTTCTATAACTCTCCCACCTCTCAGACCAAATTTACTCATAGTTAAGTGCTGTTTAGATTTATTGAAAAATTACTTGAACTACAAGAACTAGGAAGAAAAGGTTGAAAAACAAATAAGATTATTGATTTTTCTCACCAGTACCTAACTCGCAACAATGGTAGGCAAAGTATAGCAATCGGCGAAGATACAGCTTTTTCCAACCATTGCTAACTGTTGCTGCGTAACACGTTTCGTGACAGGTAAAAGTATTATCCGGTAATCCCGGAACCTCTTATTACATTCGATAAGTCATTTACTTCTTCTGTGGTTTCCTCAGTAGGTACTAGTATTTCCTGATAGAAAATCAGGCAAACAATTTGAAACTCCTAAACAATGCTGAATATCAAAATTAAACTCTGCCAGAAGAAGACCATCGCGTTAATTTCGCTTTAGCGTCAGCATTACGATTTAACCATAGTAATGACGAGTATATAATTTGTTTCTCTATATTTATTCCAATTTGATAGAGTATTAATTGCTCCCATTCCTACCTCACTACTATCTGTTTGTAAAACAAACGGTAGTGAAAAATTTGGTCTGGTTTTTATTATGCACATCTTTGACGGTCATCCTATTTCCATTTAGTGTTTTTACAAAGAAGATCAGCAGCAATCTCTGCCAATTTAGGAATATATTCTCTAAGCCAATTTACTGTACCCAAAAATGATTGAAGTTCTTTTCTATTTCGAGGAACAGGATATTTGTTAATTTCTTGTAAATGATAATATGTTTGAGGCATATTTAGACTACCATTTCTTGTGTATCCTAGAAAGTCCAGTTGATTTGTAGCAAATTTACATTTTTTTTTATTGAACATTGAAATTGGTGGATACTTAGTCTGTCTAGCACTAAGCTTAAATGCTTTCTATGATCTTCGTGATTTTTGGAATAAATATTTGTCTGTCAGAAGTTCCTGCGACATAAGCTTTATTTGGAAACTGCTAGGGGCTTTTTTAAGTCCAAATGGCATTACTGTAAATTGATGAAAATGCTGTTAAAGGTTTAGACATTTCTGATAAGCCCACTTGCCAATACCCACTTTTTAGATCCAATGATGTAAAAACTGACGCAGATCCCAATTTCTTAGTGTTTCATGAATTTTAGGTAGGTAATCTAATAGGTTCGTCTTCTGTCATCTCATTCAATTTGCGGTAATCAACACAGAATCTTGACTTTTTTCCCATTCTATTTGAATTTAGTCTTATGTCATGTTGAATACTTCGTGTTATAGAAGTTTCTGATAATTATTTTCAAGCGATGAGATGATTTTGAAAACATGAAAAAAGGTAAATAGTATGTCTGATACCTGTCGTACCAATATGTATACAAGATCGAATAATATCCAAAACAGTTTGTTATTCTAAAAACCAAGGAAAACCAAATATGCAATCTTCTGGTAAATTAGGTACAACAAGAGAATTCGACTCCAATATCATGTCCAGAAGCAAATATTTAATCTTGAAAGAGCTATGAATCTCATTTTGGTCAGGACCCCATCCGAAATGAATTGTTCTTTTTGTTACCGCTGGAAGGACTTTGAAAAATTTAGAAGAAACTAAGGGAATGTTGACTCCTCCTATGACAAGGGCATTAATTTGAAAATTATTTATTGATATAGGAATTTTTGGAGAATCTATATTGGTTTCCCTGCTGAATAATTTTTTAGGGTTGGTCTACCGCAGGATTGCGCGCGACTTTCCCTGTTGGCGTTTCCCTGTCCATAGTAATTTGATCAATTTGGGGTGATGAATTTCTTTGAAAATACTTGTTATTTGTCCCTTCATTTCTAGATAAATATGGATTTTGTGAACATTCATTATAGAAATGCCAATCACCATAAAATTTACAAGTACTATAGGTGGTCCTTTCGATCCAGCATTTCTGCCATTTGTAGAATTAATTTTCGTAACTCGTCCATTTGCATTGAAGGTATCTTATCTTGCATATGTTCTTTCTTCAAATCATTCTCTATGACTGTAACTGTGTGTGAAAGCTGTTGTATATTATTGAAATACAAACCTCGAATTCTAGAACGAATATTTGGCAGGAAGTTGATCAATTGATCTTCAGGCGAATCTGGAAAAAGACGGTAAAAGAGACCCTGTTACCTAGCAATGAAAACAGAACACATTTCAGATTCTTCTTGATTTTTGCCATAATATTGTAAAGTTAATTTTGTTACAGTGGTAGTACTATTAAATCTTTTCATAAATAAAGTCTTAAACATTTCCCAAGTGAGAGGAAGTTAATGGCGATAAGACTGATACCATTGAGCAGTTTGGCCTTTGAATGTGCCTGCTGCAAACTTCTTCAGAACTCTGAGTTTGGTCTTTATTGAAGATTGATTCCATTTTTAGGATGTAAGCTAATGGTTCTTCAGTATCATTTCCATAAAATGAAGGTTTGGGTTTATCTTTAATGTTAATAGCAGAAGCAATTGTCTGTACCGCAGACAAAAAGGCATTTGTCATTTCTGTAAGATGAGTTTCCTCTTTACCCATAGCTAACGGAGTTGACTGTATTTTGACCGCATTTGCTTTGCAAAACAATCAGTATTTGTAGATTTATTTGTTTAAACTGAACACGGTGAGAGTTGAGTTGATTTTGTCCTTGTTTGTCTAATCCTTCAAGAGAATCTCAAAATTCGTCTCCATCACTATCGTAAGTTGCCATTTTTATTACTGTTTTAGCTGGGAATGTATAATAAATAAGCTAAACAGATGGATTAAATAAAATGTAGAAGTATAAAATTTAAAAAAAAAAAGCTGAAAATAAGTACTTACCTGTATGGTTTTAGTGAACAATTTTAGATTTGGGCTAAAAATAGGGGTTTTAGAGAGAATGGCCTCACGTTGGGCGCCATGTCAACGCTTTCTTCGGTGTTTATGGCTGAGACCTCTAATAAATGTTGTTCTTCATCTTCACTCACATATGAACAAAGAAATGAAATTCCAAAAATCTTGCTTGTTTCGCCAACTCCTTTTTTCATATTTTTTTCTTATCTAATGTTCTATAACAGTAGGTTTAGATTAAAGTGAATCTTATAATGAATACTAATAATATTTATGTAAAATTTACTGAACCAGGAAACCAGCTATTAGTACGAAATTTCGTCGAATTGTAGATTTCGATTGGAGCTTAAAAAAAGGTTATTTGGGGCACAGAGCCCTAATGCTTCGTCTTCGAGATAATCGGCTTTGAAGGTTTTCCAAAATTTGAGACAAAGTTTCAATTTTGAGACACAATATCTCCAAAACTATTTGAGATAAATGACTCAATTTTATTTTATCGTAAAGAGCATTTAATTCTGATCAAGAATGTATAAATATGCATTACAATTTCTAAAGTATTATTTCACTTAATAAGCGTGAGGCAATGTTGGATGATCAAAATTTTTCAGAACCAAAAATGCAAAACTGTTACATCTACTTGAGCATGACATTATGCCTTACATTTAAGTCAAATTTTACCTTATTGTGACTTGAAATTATATACTTAGGTAAATCAGTTATGTGAACTTCTACCTCAACTTCATGTAGTTGTGTTTGTTTACTGCAATTTAAGCATTATATTGAAGAGTTTTTCCTTATTTCCTCTGAAAAAAAAACTGATTTTAATCGACAATTACTTTCTTTAGGTTTAGGGTACGTGTCTCAACCGCCTCCAAATCCCGTGTCGCAATTCGTCAACATCCCAGTGAGTTTTGTCTCGAACGGCAAACCAAATGGAATTTACCAATGGACAGGCGGCATTGATATACCAACGGCTGCACCGCCATCCACCACCCCGAAACCCAAGCCAAGACCTGCAAAGAAACCTTTGAAACCCGACTCCAATATTCACAGAATTCCAGGACAGTTTACCTTCAACGGACGACCCGAAGATATTTTTGTACTTAGAGATTCGTATAATTCGCTTTATGGGGATGTTTTACAAAATTTGTATCCATAAGACTTTTTTGATACGGTTTATACATCTTCAGGTAACTATATGTCGTTTTTATCCTTCAGATTGCCTACCTGACAGTTTATCAGAAGGTGAATAAATCGGCATTTAGTATAATTAATTGTAAAATAATTTGTCCGGGATTGAGCGCGTGCAAAATTATGATTTGAAACTTGTACTTAAGTTTATTTATTTTTTATGATTAGGAATCGTGAGACTTTTGTTGTTAAATTTTAGACTTAATTTTGTGAATTAATTCAAATAAACACAGTTAGTCGGTTTAGTAACCCTGAGAAAATTTTCTGTATGTATGTAATGTCGTATAGCGTAAATGTTTGTGCGGAATTGTTAAGTAGGTACCTAAGTAAATATTTGGTAATGAATTTAAATTATCTATTTTTGAAATGATGTGACTCTATAAAGAAATATTAGCCGAATCATTTGCTGTGTAATTTTTTTTATTATGTAAAAATGCGACTTAATTTAGTTTAGATTTAAGTTCACCTTATTTATTGTAAAATATAAATAATATAGTCATATATTTTTCCAAAATATAATTGTTTTCTTTTATAAAGAGGGACAATCAATTACTACAAAGTATAATTTTATGAATTTATTATATCAACAATCTACAACCTAAAGTTCATATAAAAAATTTTCATAATAGATATAATCTCTAAATAAATAAGAAGACCGTTTTACGTGCAAGAAATGCACTTGCTATTAAGGCCTATTCACACAAATCACTGTTGAATCAAAATAAGTGGCGTTTATTTGGAATAAATACCACAGCTGTTAACTGACTGAAATCATGCACTGCCTAATACTGACAAAAATAGGCACTGATATTATAAACATTACAGATGTGTGTGAATCAAGCTTCATTTTTAACAAAAATATAAACACAAAAAGGTATATTGTAAAAACGGCCTTATAGAAAGTACAAAGATTTTTTCCACACAAATACGCACTGTGAGTTCAATTAATATACCATCTTTTTTCTTCATATAATAATTATCATATCACTAGTTTAAACTTAGAAAATTATGTACACAAAAAAAATAATAATCCAATTCGACGCGTTATTATTATTGCAGCAAAATTAATAATTATTAGGCAAAAAATTAAAGCCGATATTCACAGAAATCAATCAAACAAAAAGCAATGGCAGTCAGTTGGGGCCATTTTCATCAATGATAAATTACCAAAAAAAAATTTTTAGTGAAAATGACCTTCAGAAAAATGCAACAGTTTATTGATTTATTATTTAGAGATCTATTTAATCAGCCTTGAATTGCCTGCTAAACATTCCAACCAACCATTGCCACATAATGAAAATAAAAAGTAATAATTCTCCAATCAAATTTTGATTTAAACAATAAAATATAGGAATTTGTTTTTCAGCACTTTCAGTTCAAATGCGTTGTTTTCGATTTTTCCGATTTCCATATTCGTATCCTTTCCTTCAGATCTTCAACTATAGAAAAAGAAAAACAATAAAATAAATTTCCAAAAAAATCTAAATCCTTACCTGGCAACAGCATATCTTCGGTTAGCGGTTGCCTATTGAACGGATCTGTGTTGCTATTCAATAAATGCCTCATAATCACCGATCTATCCATGATTTGTCCGCTTGGCAACAAAACTGGATCAGTCATAAGAGTGTCCATTAGGGGATCTTTGAATTCGTCTGGCGCATCTTCTAACCATGCATCAGACCTAAAATAATAATAATTGTTAGTGCATATTATTTATATTTGGAACAGTTACTTACTTTTGATTACGTTCTACAACTCTACAAGCTTTTTCGGCTAATTCTCTAAATTGTTCAGTTTCTACTGTAGTCTTAATACCAACACGTTCCATAAGGGAAGCTGCATCGCTAAACAGTTGTCTGCTGAAGGACCTCTGTTGAAACAATCATTCATAAGTTTGGTTAAAAAGCAATAGTCGAATACTTACTTCGTCGCTAGCAAGGGCTTCAGCAAAAGTATCACAGTCTAAGTGCAAGTAAATGTCAACTAACGAACTCAAAAGTCTTCGAGGCTCCCAACCATATTTGTCAGGATTTTCAACCTAAAAAAATAATTTGAAAAACAGTTTGTTAATCATTCCAAATTTACCTTTAAATCTTTGTATTTTTTTCCGCACAATTGTTGCAAGTTAAAATTGAGCATTGAAGCCAGCCGGCCGGCTAATTCTGGACGCAAGAACGGCTCTTTGATGTGCACAGTCAAATAGTGAAACATGTCAACGGTTTCACGTGCTAAAGTGAGGTATGAACGGCATTGTCTTTCATCGGCGCTCAATTGCCTCATTCTGGATGTTTGTTGATCAGTTGTCAGTTTTGACCTAGAATTTCATACACCTATAAGCCTCTAAATTATGCTCACCCGGTACATAGTGAAGAATGTATAGTATATGAAGAACATGGTATTTGTAGAAGTCACAGTAAAATTATTGAACCAAAAATCATACAGAGAGAAAAATCATAATATGTAATAAAATATGGTTCTTACCACTTTTTATCATCAGCAATCAATTCCTGAATTTCATGAATCCTTTTCAGCGATTCCAAAGATTCGTCCAACAAAAAAGTAGTATCGTTCATCAGCATATTGATAAATTTAACAAACTGTGTGCCTGTTTTGGATTCATCCATTACTGCTTTTCTATGAATAGGCGAACCCCACATTCCTGTAAAAATTACTCATGTATCAACAAAATAAAATATTGTACAATCAACTTACCCTTAATAATAAGACTAATATGATATCTAATTGAAAACTTATCGTAAAACTCTGAACTGGTGCCAGTAGTTTCAACATCAGTGTAAAACTTCATCAAACAACTAGATAACACTGTTTGTGAAATAGGATGCGACATCAGCCTGTTATACAATGGCTCACATCTTGGCTGAATATTAGGTATTATCACAAAAACGACTTCAATCAATTTGGCAACGAGGTAAGGGTTTTTGAACATATTTGAAGAGCATATTGTCACTAGCAGCCAAGTTATTAACGTATCTTCTGCGTTGTCAGTTATCAGATTTGGAAAATATCTATTTAAAACTTTTATAAGTAAAAATATTTCCAAAATGAATTAACTTACTGTAAAGCGAACAATAAAAATTCAGCAATATCTTCAACATACCACTCAGGCATGGCATAGAAAGCAGGACTTTGAGGTGGAGGTAAAGGCAAATCTGACACTGGAGTTCCAGGGGGCGCTCCAGTCATCAAGCTCAGCAAATAGTCACATACTGTTGTATAGAACAATAAAGAGCGTCGCATTACGTTTGGATCTAACAGGCCTGCATCTGCGCAACCTTTGGCTCTACATTTTCAAATAATAATTATCAATTGTATAAAAATAAACATACACTTTTACCTATTTAACTTTTTCAGTTGTTGTTTTGATTTTTTGATAAACTGCTTATTTCTAATAGCATATGGGGTATTTTTCCATTGTGCTTCAGCAGCTATAGTCTCGTCTAAGAGCTTTTGTAAATCCCTAATGGTCCGCAGGGTACGTTGATATTTCTGTATTGTAGGTAAAAGGGACAAATGATGGCAGTGTAATGTTAAGAACCAGCAAATAGTGGAAAAATTAGGATTTGGAAACTCATGAGTTTTACCTGTAAAAAAATCTGTTTTTTTTTTTTCACAAATTCTAGATTGTAAGATCTTACCAAATTCTTCCAACCAATCGCCAACTTCCTGTGAAGAAAATTTCAGTCTTGTATCATTTTGGATTTGTATCATCGCCTGCGGATGGAACGGATACATCAAATCCATTTTGTTAAAGTTAATTTTTACTGACAAATTCTGTAATACGGTCAATACGTTTAGCATAAAACCGTCTCCAGCTACTAGACGTCCTTCCATTGCTATTTGAGCGCGTTTTTCGTTGCTTTTCAATATTTGCGCCAAGTATTTCAGGCAAATATCTCTACTGTCCTGATTAGCTAGGATGAAGTGGAAAATTTTATGAAGAATGTGGCGGACTTGTTCGAATTCCTGTTGCAAACACTGTTTGAGGATTTTTTCGTTAGCAGTTTTACCTACACAAACAATAATATTAATTAATAAGCAAAAACAATAATTAAATAATTTACCAAAAGTTAATTTTTCAGCCATTTTGGGATTATCCTCGGCAAACACAGAAATATCTAAAAATGGACCCAAAAACGACAAGACAGTCAACTCACGCCCACTTGCGCTGGTCAACGCTTCCGACATGTGAAATTGAAACTGTTTAGTAATTAAGGTGCATATTGGTCTACTGTTGCATCTAATTTCAGCTAATTCGTATAACGCTTGAAGTGGCAACCTATAATGACACCTGTAAATTTCCTCAATAATAAAAAAACAACAACCTGGAAACTAATAAATACTTATGCTCGTCGGTTTCATTTTGTGAAAAGTCAGCAGTCCGCATAAGCCTAAACAGTCCTTGTAGTATTGGACTAAAAACTTCACTAAATAAAATCTCATTTGTATGAGTACGAGTTACTAATTCTGTCAAAAATCCTCTGGGTATAGTTTGATGGACAATGGGTTCTAAAAGGGGAGATTTTCCATAGCCATCTTCTTTGCGTTTAACAACTAGGGCAGTGTACTGGATGAGTTGTGCTCTAACTTCAGTTAAAACATCACTTAAAGGTGGAATGCTTGATTTTTTCGGGAAATTCCTTTCCTCTTGAGCAACTCTATTGTACGATTCCATTAAAAACTTTATTGCCAAAGTCATAGGGCTTCTATCATCAATTTTTTCTTTCATAATCAGCGCGGGTACGGGGCACTGTGTATCGCTAGTGCTTGGACTACTTTGTATAGGACTCACAGAACCAGAATGTAAACTGTATGTATCAGTAATATCTGGATTTTGCGAAGTTATATTTTTAAAAGAATTATTATCTTTTTGGATTATGGTTAGTATTTCCATAATTGCTGTTGAAGTAATGTCGCGTATGCTTGCATGAGGCGTTTCCTTAATCAATTCAGCCGTTTGTGGTAAGAAAACACCAGACGATGAATTTTCTGTAAATGATGATTGTAAAATGCGCGCGACAGTATTTTGTAGTTGTTCAACAGTTAATTCTGTCGATGAGGAGGTAGTGCGTTGTCGATGAATGTCTTTTTTGAATAGATCAGATTCGTCAACCTAGAATATTTTAATTCAAATTTAGAAGCATAAATCAACCCCATACTTACTTCCATATTCTCAAATCCTGAATCAATATCAGTATTCGCACTAATTTTATCTGCAGATCCGCTAGCCTCATCCACTTCCATATGAATAGAGCTGGTTTCAGAATCGCTTCGAACAGGCGGCGCTCTGGATCTTTGTTTGGAACTGGAGGGCATTTGTATGTCGATCGGTTTACTCGGTTCCTTAAACACACCCTCAATCACCTTTTCCGCACCTTTACTATTGTCTTTTTTCTGAGCCTGCACGGTTCCATTGGTTGGTGCGAAAAACTTGTTTTCCAACGAACCCGGTTGGGATTCAAAGATTGGCGGACTTTGGTCTTGCGTGGTGGACATTGGCGATTGGGAAATTGGCGTGGCTAGGGGTGATACGGAGGTGGACGATGGTGAATTGTTGGAGGCTGTTAAACGTGCCAGACGTCGACGACGGATCTGAATTTTTAAAGAAGTAATGACAACTAGTGAAAAATTATAAAGATTCTACGTTTTTTCAAGAACAAAAAAGCTATTTCTCAGCATTACTACTTTAAGTCTTTTGAGAAGTTTATAAGAAGACATTTCCTTTATTCTTGAAACAAAAACAAAATATTGCAATACAAACTATAGTTGGTTTATTCTACCTAGTACCTTCTAATCCTTTCCATTTCAAGACAAATGGTTTTCAAGATTCAATACCCATTTGAATTAGTACAAAACGGGGAATAAAATATGCCTACTCAATAAATCTGTTTGAATTTCAGGGTAGAGAAGAACTCTGGAGGTTGTATTCTTTGATTTCTTGAAAGCTTTCGACTACATGATCTCGGAATAATTTTCCTGGAGTTGGATAAATATGGAATCCTAGATCAGATTTTGAGTTGGTTTGGTTCATATCTGAATCCCAATCTGTCAAAGTCGGTAAGTATTGTGAGTCAAAAAAGTCACCTGAGGCGTTCCATAGGGGTTATTGCTGTTTCTAGTGTATATGAACGATTTATCCTATTTCATCTCTAGCTAGAGTATTAGGGGAAAATTAACGCTGTTCTCAGATGGATCAAGCATTTCGTAGAGGGACATAAAGGCAAATATTCTAGATAACATGTAGAAATTGTTCTAAATTTTCAAAAATCTAAATCATAAGCCTTAGTACTGAAATGATGAAATTTTAAATTTTTTATGTTGAAATTTTGCGTTTATATGATCAATTGAGAACCCCTAAACTCCATACACTAAATTATTCTGAGATTTGAAGCCAAAATCTATGAAAAAAGGCACTGAAAAAATTGAAAAATTGTCAAATTTATCCCAAATTGCTTAACACAATTTAATTTCTGGAACTATAAGTCCAAATGAGCTGAAATTTTCAGGGATTGTAGTCCTCCACTGGGATAAAAATCGCTGAAAACCACTAGTGAAAATCATTGTAAATTTTATTGGGAATCACATAGTAATCAATCAGAAATACATAGAAATCACTTGAGAGTTCCTGGGAATCGCTGAGAATATCACCTCATTCTAGCCCAGAAATCGCATATCATACATTTTAAATGATACAGCGTACCGGTCAGTTGTGTATTTGCCTTAAGACTTAGGCAAGTTTTAGGCAACATTGAGTGCTAGACAATTTGAAATAAATTTGATATCCCAGCAAGTTTCCCAATAACTGAACCAATAACTGAACCCAAGACTACAAAGAGTTTAGAACTTGGAGAAGAATAACGTGATGAAGATTAGGTCTGTTCTCACAGAAATCAAAATGTTCGCTCTGACTGGTTTGTGACCTAATGAAAGTCCTGACGTCTCTTACGTACTATGAAGACGGCTTGGATGACCTTAAAAATTCTGTGAAGATTCTTACAAAGGAAAACGTGAAGTTGAAAAAGGAACGAAATGGCATGGAAAAACGGATTCAAGCCCTCCCTTGAAAAACAAGTTATTTAAATTAATAAACGTAGCACTAGAGAAGATCAGGAGGAAAGAAATAGAAAGTTGGTCTTCCTGGGAATACGAACCACCAAGGAAAATTGTTCTGAAGATATTCATAAAGTCCTGACAGCTCTGGACATAAATTTTTCAAAGCATGGTTAAAACCACTTCGTTAACATTTAAAGTTATGAAAGAGCACAACTCAGATCTTTCAATGATCACTGTAAATATTGTAAATTACAAATTGAATGTTACGTCTTTATAGACCCCCAAATTATAATATGAATTTATTTTTTCGGGAACTGGAAAACTTTCTGGAGAGTACATCATATTCTAGAAATACTATATTAGGCGATTTTAACTTGGACCTTTTGAAAAATGGCAATATTGTAAGCACCTACAGGCAGATATATGAATCATGCGAGTACCACTTAATAAATGAAACGATTTCAACGAGATTATCAAACCATCCTTACCTCATTGATCATGTTGCTACAAATTTTGCATTGAAACAAAATGATATCATCCTAACGGATGCTGTTGAAATTTCAAACGCATTCAATGAGTGTTTTTATTAATGTGAATCCCTATTTGTCAAAAAACATTCAACACATCCCTGTGAAAAGGTCTCAAAACAAGGCTTGTGGAGCGGACAACAGCACAGTAGAAAGTGTTCAAAGAACAAAGACAAAGTGTTCAATTATCTTAATGAAAATAATTAATCTCTCTCTGCAAAGTGCTACAATACCTGACAAGATGTAGATAGCTAGAGTTAAGCCTCTCTACAACAAGGGGGACTATGAACTGCCTTCCAATTATCGACCAGTATCCGTTCTCCCAGGTTTCTCCAGAATATTGGGAGTTTGTTTCAACAAGAGACTTCAATATTTTTTGGATCAGTTTGGGTTTTTGTATGGGGTCAGTATGGCTTCTGCAAAGGCAAGGACACCGAGACAACGGTTATAGATCTTATTTCAGATTTACAAATAAAAATAGACAGTGTAAGTATCTGTTCTCTGGTGTCTTTGGATTTGCAGAAGGCATTTGACACTGTAGACCATGAGATTTTGCTGTTATGGTTGGAGGCGAAAGGTATTACAGGAATTCCATACTTCTGGTTCAGAAACTATCTGCAGAACAGAAGACAATATGTGAATGCCCATAATGCTAATAGCAATTTACAATTTACAATGCGGGGTTCCTCAAGGATCAGTTCTAGACCCCATATTGTTTTCAATTTATGTTAATTCTATTGGTAGACTTTCATTAAAGGGTAAAATAAAATTGTATGCAGACGACACAACATTGGTGTATTATGGTAGGAGTGTCGAGTCTATCAGGTACGACATCAGTGATGATTTATCCAGGATAAGTGTGTGGCTGAAGTCTCGAGAAAAATTGCACCTTTTGTAGGGATTCCGTATAAAGTGCAAAGTTGGACAAATGTGACTGACTGAAATTTTGCAAAAACAGCACATGTTAATAGCCACTTGCATTATCTAGTAACAGTTTGGGGCACGGCAGCCGACTACATTTTAAATCCCTTGATAACTCTTCAAAATAAAGCTATCAAAAATGTTTTTAAACTTCCCTTGCCATACCATACTAAGAACTTTTATGAAATTTATAAATTCTTTAATATTAACCAAAATAGTTGTAGACAATGTGGTATATTTATTATATAGTCAGAAAGAAGAAAAAGTCAATAATAACATTTGTTACGAGTTCAAACCGTACATGATTAATATACTAGGAGAATGAATGATATATATTTGCCAAAAGTGAATCGGGAATAAGTTTAAAAGCTATTTACCATAAAGGTATAAAATTATACAATAGCCTACCAGTGGCTATAAGAAATATTGATAGGCAAATTTTGTTCAGAAGAAGGTTGAAGGAATTTGTGATGCGAAAATTGTAAAATTGTTAAATGTGTGTTGCTCTCTCATGGATAATATGTTCTTGTGTCGTTATGTTGGATGTTACTAGCAATATTTATTTATATATTTATATTTTTTTTCTTTTATGTCCCTCAATTTGTGATAATAGTGAGTATCTGTTTAATATTATGTTGCTACTGCTAGATACTGGCGAAGCACCACCATCACATCATCATATCATGTTTGAATATAAGGGTTATTTTTTAGATTAAGCTAGATCCCAAAATAAGAATACTTATGTAATTTCTTCTTGGGATTAATGAAGCTCTGAAGAAAATTCTGTGAGAACAAACCTAAAGTACGACAATATTGTAGATTATAAAAATGAAAACATGAATCTTTAAACCTCTCTCGAATCCGACTTGCCAAAAGAAGACACAGAATTTCTCCATACATCAGAGTTTAGCAATTGCGATTTGCTAAAATTGAGAGATTCTTCAGGGCTCAACCTTAATTTGGTTCTTTTCAAAAATGCAGGGACATTTGTCGATCGAGTATTAAAAGCTATTGGAATATTTCTGAGAAAGACACAAAAGAAAAAGTCGGTAATCCAAGGCAATAAGAACTTGAAAAGAATAAATACTAGGCAGCTACTCACCAATATACTGTTGAACTGTTCAAGTAAGACATTCATCTAAATGTAGTTTTTGAACAAATAAGAAAAACTCACAACTGCGAGAATCTAGTTAGTATGTACTTGAACAATATATTGGTGAATAGATGGCTGCGGAACTCGCTACGCTCGTCCCGCAGAGGTCCACCCATAAGTTCCGCAACAATCCACTAGTTTTTACTTGAAAAACTTGCCACATTATGTTACTAGTTTGGTAAAGTAACATTACCAATTCCAGCTTCTCAGAGAAGATAGCACATCTGAATCAGAAATAAGTTTGTCAACTGAAATCCTAACTGAAGATGTCTGTGATTCAGATGAACATCCTAGTGAAATCAAAGAATTATCCATTATTTTAGATCCACATTATGTAGTGTAGACCCGCAATGGTATCTAGGGCTCAACAACTATTTATATTTACAACAAAATCTGTACAGGTGTGGACAACCATGAAAATGAACTTTGCTAATTTTCGGAAAGAGTTGCAAATACAGAAGATGTCAATTTTTCAGTGCAAACGTGTTTTTATAAGAGAAAAAACTGTTATTTTGGTCATATCAATGAGAAGCTTAACAATTAGACATCATTTTCATAATAAACTTAGCTGGAAATCGGATGAATTCAGGAAATCAGGTAATCATTGGGAATGATAAAGGAATCCCCAGAAAAAATGGAAATCATCTCTGGTAATCATACAAAAATATCTGAAAATCCCTCGTGAAAATCATTGCCAATCAGTCGCAATTATTCTTGAGATGGGAATAAATGAGATTCATTGATCAGTGGTTGCCAAATATGGAAATCATTGTAGATTTGTACTATTGATTATGTGTTTTCCTTGTTTGAGTTCTCAGATATGGACTGGGTAACCTTTTTGAGTAGGTTTTTATTAATTCAGAGGACAGTGTTTGCTTTTTCAATAGTCTTATTCCCAAAAAAAAAACAGTCTAAAAAAAAAAAACAAATTTATCTTA